ATTCAAGATCAAGCCATCGAGACCAAACAACATTCCAGAAGGCAGGGGGTTAGAAGTGATTAAGGTAGGAGGGAGATGTGTTAAGAGGTGTTCTGGGCAAGTAAGGGGGAGTTTGGGTGCATATGATCGAGATATAAGGTATACATGTATAGAATTGTCAAAGAATTAATAATATTATTAATTATTTATCAATATTAGTAATTAACAATATTCCTAAAATAAAATTTAAACAAAGGTAGAGCAGACGGAGTTGCCCTTGAAGACAGGCAGTAGATGAAAGGCAGCAACATGGGTTTGGCTGTTCCTTGTACTGAGCCCAAAGTCACCCTGTCCCCTACCACAGTTCTGTCTTGCTGGGCCATTGCTTTGACCAAAAGAATATAATGGAAGTGAATGCCAATTCCTGGGCCAGAGCATTAAGAGAAAGCCAGCTTCTGTTTCCTGCTTCTTGTTTGCTTTGGCTAAGGCAAGAAAGGAAAGGCAGGGGAAATTAAGGGGCCATGAGAGAGGAAAAGAGGCCATCACTCCTTCAACCTGGCTGAGGTCTCTCAGGACTGAAAGTCAAAGACTTCAGCACAGCTCAAGAATCAACTCAAATGTCTATACTCCCCTATCTGAGGAAAATCTTGAAAACCAAATTACAAACCATATTTATGACAAAAATATATCTCTCGGCGGTGGAGAGATCTCAATGGGTGAAACTCTCAAATGCCAGCATGCAGACCTGAGTTCAGAAGCCCAGTACACCCATGAAGCCAGCACTCCTCTGACAGGATGGGAGACAGAGGTACCATAGTCCTTGAATAGATAAATAACCTGGTATTCATCTACCTCTGCTGACCTATGTTTGCTCAGCATCATCTTCTCATATGTAAATCTGTCAATACACTTCATGAACCACTTTATAATTTCATTTACTAAAGAGAAACTGAGTAGATGAAAATAAGTCTGGCTGGGCGTTATTGTGCATGACTGAAACACGGCAGAGGGATCTCCGTGAATTCAAAGCCAGCATGGTTTACGAAGGATGTTCCAGGACAACAAGATCTACATGTAAGACATTGTCTCTGTGAAGCAAGACAAAGCAACATGAATATGCCTGAGCTGGTGAGATGGCTCAAGGTTAATGCTGCTTACTGCTAAGCCTATAGAACTGAGCTCTATCTCTGGGGCACACATGGTAGAAAAGAAGTGATCTTGGTAAGTTGTTTTCTGACCTACACATGCATGTCACGGCAGGAGTATGTCTACAGGGATATCCCCACCACCACCACCACATGCATCAGCACACACACACACACACACACACACAAACACACAACTGTCATAAAAAATAAAAATACTTGAATATTTTAATTTACTCTTTTAATTTTAAACATGAATCACGTCTTTTAAACAATGGAACTTCAAAAGTTCCAAAAAAATTCATCTCCTAGGTTTTCATAGGACAGTTACACGCAGCTCTCTCTCCTATGAAGCCAGAATTTGCCTCTCCAGCATGTGGTGTACCACTGTTTGTTTTATCTTCTTAACAAACACGACTTTGGCTTCCTACCGACTCACTATAAATTCTTTTCTGGGCTATAAATCAAGATCACAACTTCAGCTGAGTAGAAATCTCTGGAAAGACCTCCTGTTGTGATATTGTTGTGATCCTCTTAGAACCTACAACCTATTAGGTAAGAAGCCCAAGGCACATAGAGAGTCTATGTTTTATCTCTTTTCCAAAATGCATGTCTCCATTGGTAGCAAATACACATGGGCATAGGCACGGGCCATCTTTTGTGTCCAACTGGAATCATATTTGGTTGACTCTATCCCAGCTAACATAGGAGAAAGACAGATTCCTGAGAAATCCTAGACAAGAACTGCCTGCCTCTGTGCCAGCTAAAGATGATGGAGTGATTGGAAGGAATGGTTACTTTAAGCTAATAAGTTTAGGAATTATTCTGCATGGTAAAAACTCACAGAAACTGAAAGTGATTTAGACCAGAATATTTCCATTTATGCTGGGGTCTGGAGGAAGTGCAGGCGCTTCGACAGCCCTCTGTAATCACTTTATTCTGTGTTAAGGGGATATTGGGATTTAAATAAAATCCATTCTCAGTCTCCCAATAGCTCATAATTCTGAAAGCTTCTATTCTTTAATGTTCACACGGAATGGGGAATTCTCAAAATCCTTCAACATTTTAAAACAAATTTCTTAAAGCTATATCTGCATGATAGTGATCTATCATTTATCAAAACATTAAAGTAATATTCATGGACATCCTTAAAGGCGGTATGTTAGCAATATGTCATGAAAGGAAGTATTTTTAGAAAGTACTTGAAGAAACTCTAGATTAAAGTAAAGTAAAAATAACTTTTAAATTGTGTGATTATTCAGAAATGTTAAAAGCTCCTAGAGGAGTTGTCCCCAGAACTATCAATAATGTTATTTGGGAGTACCTAGAAAAGTGGGGGCTGTGAAAGAATGTGGAAAGGAAAAGAACCATCATTCAGGAGTCCTAATGAAGTCCCTCCCCAGGTGACAGTCAAGAATTCCAGTACAATTAACTGGAAGCTGCCTACAGAGACAATCTTCCTTTTATATGAAAATACTTCAAGAAAGAATATAAAAATATCTATTAAACCTCACTTTATCCCTGAGTGTGCATGCCTTTTGAATATGGCTATACTCCTTTACAAACTGAGATCTTACCAGGAATCTCACAAACAGGACTGTAAGCTCCATATACAGGCAAGACATTTCTGAACTCTCTTGTATAACCTTCATGACCTTAAAATCTGTCATCCTAAGCATGGCCCCTCTGGAACCCCTCAATGATCTTCTCTAAATCCCTTAGTCACTCTTGGAGATATGACTCCAAAATTATACATATGACTTACTGTAAAGACACTTAAGAGGAATTCACTTTTGAGGCATCGACACTCACGTGGAAATGATTATTCTTCTTTTAAGCAACTCTCTATTAACTTCCAAGGTTAGATCTATTTTAAGGGCACTTCCTAATAAATTCCAGCTATACTCATAATGACTGGTCCCAAAATTGTTTCAGACATCGAAGTCGAGAATCTAGGCTTCCCCTGAATAAAGGTGACAAGCATGAGTTGTGTCTCTGGCCCCACCTGCCTCTTTACAGTTTGTCCAAGGCATCATAGAAAGACTAAACTGAAAAGTTGGAATAAAAATACATTGTCAACAGACACCAAACTTTATATTCAAAGTATATCACAAAACCATTCCCTCTACCCCATTATTTGGTATGACTTCCACACAGAAACCCATTTTAGACCAATGTTTTGTACCTATCAAGGACTAAGCTCAGTTAGGCAGTTCTTTGTAAACCCTGCCCCCACCATAAAATACTGGAAGAAGGTGCAAGTGAACGGTAACAACCCTGGATCAACAACAGATCACTGAACCTGGTCTCTGAAAGTTATAGACCTGACTTCAGCATTGACACTAATTAGGATGGGTGTGTGGCTTTATTTTCATTAAATCCTCATTGGAATAACAACACTTGGGCTGTCTCACAGAGTTCCTGAAAAATTCATAGGCGACTTCTAAGCCAGAGGTGGGGCAGCCTGGGGAAAGGCATGACCTTAGCCATGAAGTAAGCGTTCATGCGTTTATTTTCTACTTCTGGAGACTAGAGTCAAACAGGAGAGTTTACAGTAAAAAAAAAAAAAAAAAAAAAGAAAAAACATAAAACATACTAGCTACGTTGGAATTTGTTCCATATATTTACATTAAAGGTGTTAAAAAAAACCCCTGTACTACTATGATTCTAATTTGAGTTATGATTATTTCTCTCACATTTTAGTAGTTTAGGCAAAAAACACACTTTACTGCAGAACTCGTGACTATGTAGCAAGAGGTGGCAGTCAAATGTTTAATTGCCAGTATGGAATGGGCGTGGAGGATCCTAATAGACACTAGCTATAATCACTGGTACAAATCACTGACCATGTTACATCCACTTCCAACCTCAGCACTTGGGAGGTAGAGGCAGGTGGGTCTTTGTGAGTATAGAGGCAGCCTGGTCTACATAACACATTCTCAACTAGCCAAGGCGATACAGTGAAATTTAGTTTCCAAAATAAATCAATAAACAAACAAATTGATACGGCCCAATGCTGAGTGACAGCCAAGAATCAGCTCTGGTAAAACACACTTCCCCTTCCTAGTCACTGGCTGTTGTGAGCATCCTTGCCTGAAGAAATTCTTCCGTACAGGGTCTCACACACAACCCCCTTTTTAGTCATCAATTGGTTGCTGGCCTTGTGAGTATCATTGCCTTAAGTAATTCTTCCACTCAGGTTGTCTGCTTCACTGAGCTGTGTTTTGATGCCCATGAACAGGTTCTATTCTGACTCTCGAGCGTCCCTTATCTATAGCCCTTCCTAATTCGGTTAACAATCTGCCATCTTGCTCCTAAAATTATGGGGTTGTGGTCACACCTGGAGCTGCTACACAGAGAGAAGTATGATTTATCATCTCCCCTTCCCCGGTCTACTGTCTCTACTTAATTTTCCATGCAACTCTCAAGACCCGCCCACTCTACTGGCTCGTTCTTTATTTCGCAGGATACAGTCTGTTCTAGAAAGCAGGAGAAAAAGACCCATGAAACTTAGCAAATAAAACACATGGCATGGAGTATTTGATAAATTAAAGCTAGAATGGTAAGAAAATATTTATCAGGACAGAGCTACGTTCTTAGCTTGTTCTTTTATAGTGCCACTAAAATGAGTGGTTAAAATTGAAACAATGGTGAGCACAATTCCACAGATCTTTGTAAATAAACTGCTTCTTTTTAAGCCACGGAAGGGTAGCTTATACCATTTGACTCATAAAGGTCCATATTACCTACGCTCAACTCTGCGGCGTTTGTAATATGTCTTTTTTTTTTTTTTAATATGACAAGAATTCAGCTGTAAATGGAGAAAGGAACCTTTCTTTCCTGGATGTGAAGCAGCTGCGGCAACAGCCCACTTACCTCCACCAGCCTGCCTGTGTGCTCGTGAAATATGGCAGCGTAGTCTTTGATTTCCTTTACTCGGCCATTCTTAGCGGCTTCAATGAGGACCAGGAGTGGAACTGTTGTGTCCAAGAAAGAATCTGATATGTGATCTATAATAGCCTTGCGGAGCTGAAAAACAAAATAAAAATCCTTTTATTTCCAAGAAAAAAAATATTCAGGTTCTTTTGTAGTCTTATGATCTTACTGCTTCAAAAAAATGCATTTTACATATCTCTTAAACAATCCACAACAATTGTAATATGTGGTACAGAATATGAGCATCCTTTATAAACAAACTAAATAAAATATTCAGGATAAAAAAAAAATCAGGCAGCAATGATTCCCTGGCTCCCAAAAGTCACTAATTTTTATATTACATTTAGAACATAATTAAAATTATAAGTAGTAATTCAATATTTTTTCTTAAAGAAATTACATGATTAGAATGTCTGCGTGTGTACAAATAAAATGCACATATCATATTTTAATAATTATAAATTATAAGATGCTTTTGTACTTATTGAAAGAATTGATCATGCATTTTGTTTAGCTAAATTGTAGACTTCGTGGTAATTAAATAAAGTGAGATCATCAATTGCACCAGATGATATCAGATAAATAGAGCAAGAAGGAGAATAAATGAAGTTGATGTCCAATTACCTTCATTTGCTTTAATTGTTCTTGCCTTCACAGCTTAAATTATTAAACAACTATAACATTCTGCCACAATTAGTTCCTTTAAATTAAATTATATGGAAGTTTACAAATGACATCATATAATTGCTGTACTCAGCAGAAATTTTCTGAAATCTTAAAATGTCATTGAAAATTAATTTATTGTATTTCTAACACTGAGATTACAGGGATTACAATATTCTGTTGTCTTTTAATAAACAAAAAAATATCAATGGTTATGCTTGAGCAAAGGGTTTTGGATCAACCTGATCATTCAGTTTAATAACCTCTTTCAATTAAAAAAAAAAGTAGGTAAGGATCAGATAGAAAAATTATAATTTGCCTTCTGTGAGGTCTATATTTTTAAAACTAGTTGACAGCTTGGTTTAAAATAGTTTGAGAATTGCTAGAATATAGCTCAGTAGCAGAACATTTGCCTTCCATGTGTGAGACCATGGATTCCGTTCTCAGCACTTTGAAAAATAGAAAAAAATGTGTTGTCTTCCTATAATAATTGTAGGATGATAAATTCATCAAGGCTATTAGCTTGGTAGGAGATTCATCTGCTCTTATTGGTAGAACTATCTGAGAAGTGTTATGAGATTTTTTTTCTGCCTCCTGACAACATCTTAAACTTCAGGAAGGTCTTCACTGAAGTTTTCTGCTCATTAGGAAGCAAAGTAAAAATCACTATTGGCAGCAAATTAGTATTTACTGAGCACTTGAAAGGGTGTAGGTGAGAGGTCACAAGGCAAGACGATAGCCATCAATCAAAGGGCAGTGTGTTTACAGTTCATGAGGACTGGATCAGGGAAGTCAAGGGCACAGGAAAGGGCTGCAGTTGAGAAGCACATGGTGTCTACATTTCAGAAACATAGGGGAGATGTATCAAGGGTCCCAGAGAAGGGCAGAAATTTTAGTGACAGCCCCCTGCCCCATGTTTTCTAAGACATGTAACTTGGATCTGACAAATAACTCTGCACTACAGTTAATCTCTGAGGGTCAGAATATGGGAGTTAGCTCATGCTGATTATATAAAGACAACCTTGATGACAGAAGCACAGGGAGGAGACATTCAGGAGTGCATTTGGAAGTACCACATAGTAGACAGACCAGTGGGAAGAGGAGGACTTTAAGAGGTTGAGAGAGTAGGTAAAAGTAAAGAATACAAAAGCTAGAAGACCAAACAGGTGTCAGCACTGTCACAGTAGACTTGTAGGATCTTTTGCTGTAGACACCTGACTCCATCCAATGAAACAAGTGATTCTGAACAGCATTTCAAGAGGTAGGTGTCCTCTACCTCTTGAAGTTGGAAATGAATGAACCCATAAAATCTAGTAGAGGAGCACGAGGCAGTAAACATTATAACTGCAAAAACCCAGGCTACTTAAATATATGTATATGTGCATGTGTATGTATATATATTACAATACATATGCATAGTACACAAATATACACTCACATGCCATCATATATGTGTGTGTATATGTGTGTATATGTGTGTGTGTGTGTGTGTGTGTGTGTGTGTGTGTAAACTTTAAAAAGAACTGAACTTAGACAACAGAGAGAATGTAGAGTCTGATTTCTAAGGAGAGAGCTGGTGAACATGACAAGCACAGGTTTCATATAGCGTTGGATATAGATGTTCTACCACTATTTCTTCAAAAGTGACTGGGAAGCAAGAGGGTGGAGACACTGAGTATGAATTGTGATGTCTGCTAATTTGACTGTGAGATTAAAAAAGAAAAAGATTTAGTTTTAGCTACCTTGAAATGTGTGTTTAAAAATAGGCTGTTCTTTTTTATCTCGTGAGAGAGGAATTTGTCAGAAATCTGTGACTTGTGGAATAAAGCATTTAAGGGAAGGCCTTATTTTCCTCCAGAAAGCATTTAACCCAGGCAAATAACAAACTGTGGAGTTAAGCACAGTTTTCTCAGAAGTCTCTGCCTTGCTTGCTGATTATAAACCCTTTATCCTGATGCTCTGGACCATGGTGAAAGGTGACATAGGCCATCAGCATTGCACTACATATCTTCTAGATCACTCTTCAATTTTACTTCTTGCTGTGGGTCTCAGTTTTAGGTCCTCTGAAGACATCCTCTGATTCTTTCTTGTTATTCTGCCTCAGGACCTGTTCTAAGTCTCTGTGAGGTTCTCACATAAGTACAACAGCAGCTTGCAAGTTCTAGAGAACTCACATTGCCAGGAACAACCATAAGTAATAGCAAGAGCTATTAAATCTGATTTTCATTGTTAGACAGAGCACCTGAGGAGAAATTCTGATTCACAGAAGTCTTCAAGCCCCCTGTTTCCTGTAGCTGCAGTCTCAATAGCATACCACCTATTTTCTTCCTTGCTTGACATTTACAAAAAAAAAAAATGTTTATATTTGGAACCACCTCCCAAATCAAGTTCCTGCACTAAAGGACTGTATTAAGGCTTTGTTCTCACCAAGAGAGTCAATCTAAAACAGGCACCTTTCTCTGCTGTTAAATGCCCAGTCACTCCTCACTGACAGGTTCCATGTCTTCATACCTTCATCTTTGCAGATCTCGCTTTTGTCGTTTCTGCTTTGCACATCACTGGATGCAACTCTGCCATGCCCTACATTTTGCTGACCATGAAGAAGGAATTAGTATGGGATAAAACTAGCCAAGTGGACAGGGACAAATGCAAAAAAGACTGGGATTGTTCTGTTAGGCAGTTTTCTTCATTTGTCGTCATACATTCCTATGGGGCATTCTCTTTATACCTTGCCTATATATGTATTAATTAAGTAGCCCTAAGCATATTTATTGTCATTCTGTTTTCCTGTCCAGGGGCTTACCATGTTTCTTTCACTTGGAATATATATATATATATATATATATATATATATATATATATATATCTCCTAAAGAAGACACTAACATGCCAATTTTGACATAGACATAGAAGTCATAGTGCTAAAATTTGAAGTTAATGGGAAACCAATAGGAGTTGTGGGGTATGAACTTTCAATGAATACTTGCCTGTGGTCAAATGTGAATAATGTTGGAGCAAAGTCAAACTGAGGGGCTTTCTATCTTTTCTCATCGTAGCTTAGTAAAAGGTTTTTGAGGCCTCAAATTTTTCTATGTCCCGCTGATATAAGTGGCTTGGTATCTCAAATAAAATAATATACTTCTCTACAATTGAAATGCAAAAGTGAAAGCCCCATGTGGAAGCTTTAAGAAAGCCTACCATAGTTGTTAAATGAGGCAACAGAAAGAACACGGTGTAAGGGGAAGATACATGAGAAGCAAATGAGTATTGCAGAAAAATATTCCTCCTTCCACAATCAGGCTCTACTTGTGCATCCAGGTGCCATTTTTTAATTTTAAGTGAGGAGAATATGTTTTGCAAAGGTTGACTGATCAATAAGAACTCAATCAAGTAACAATTCAGCATCTGGTCTGGTCATTGTGCTAAATTTGTGGGATGTGAACTCATGAGCACTTAATGTGTTGATGATGACAGATAAAGGGGTGATAATGGCTTTTTAAGGGTTCTGCTTGTTTTCCCAACGTGGGAAACAAAGCTGTCACACGCCAGGCAAGCAAACAATTCAATAATCAATCACGTGGTCGTTTGTTCCCTGTTGTCAGAATTCTATTTTCACCGACAGAATGCATCAGTACCTTTGCATCTATGAACTGTAATGCCTTGTCTTATTAACAAGTGAGACTTCTAACCTGCCTTCAGTGAAATCGAACGTGTCTCATTCTTCACGAGACAGTAGAAGTAGGGTGTATTTGGATGTCGTGATTTTTAATGAAGTAAAACTTTGAAGTATTTTAGAACGTTCTTCATTTACTGAGAGTTCCAACAGATAAGTCATTCTCAAGTAAATAGTAGGAGTCCAGGCAAAAGGATAAAGAAAAGTGACATTTTGAAAAATGTACAAAATAAGTAATGGAGAATAAAGGTATGACAGTGAAGTTGGTGCATTTGATTCTGGGTTTTTTTAAAATGACATAGTCCATTTTCTTTGTCCCCCGATGTGGTACTCACACACTTGGGCTCTAGTTACACTGCAGCTGGGATGGAACCGTGAATCCACTAAGTGAAGTTCAGCAAATTGATCCGCTTGCGAATTCATGTAGCACTATAACATTTCTTATTTCAAGGACGAAAATCAAGTGCAAACAATACACCTGTTGAAGAGTTCTGGAAATATTCTGTAAGGGGGAGAGCTGATGATAATTATCATTGTAAATGTTTCCAATCCATTGAGGAAAAAATCCTCTACAAAGGAAAAACATGGCAGAGGAAGAAAGACTAGGATAAAAGTATACATGTACTTAAGTGCTCTCAGAAAGTAATAAGAATTACTGCTGGAGAAAACAGCTAAGTTTTCTTAACAGTTTGCTTGGAGAAGTAGCACCCATGCTGTTATTGAACTCAGGTGACTTAAGATTAGAAGAATGATAGGACGTACAGAAGGGGTAGAGCTCAAGGTGATATCAGCATCCCATCCATGTGCTAAACATGGTGAGCCTGTGATTGTGTGTGGAAGGAGGAGCTGCCCATTTGCTGAGAAGAACATATGGATCTATCCTTTTATCAGAGGTGGGTGAGTATGTTTCATGTATGAGGAGGAACTGAAGAGATAAAGGATATTAAGAACAAAGATGTGTGAACCAGTCACAGAGAACATAGGACCCCATGCCAAGAACTTTAACTCTGCTCCTAATAAAATGGATGAAAGAGCCACAGAGCAAGGAAAGGAGAAACAAACAATCAAAAAAAATATTTATGACATGTGCTATAACATTCCATCTTCATGTTCCACAATGAATAATGACCATTATACATTTAGACATTCCTTACAAATGTATGACACATCTTACAGGCTCAATTGTTCATTGACCTAAAGCTAAGGCATTTCTACTACTGATGAAAAGGTAATGGTTAAGGATGGATGAGAAAAAAAAAAAGAGGCTCTTGGGACATTTTACTAAAAATAAAGCCAGTTCTAGAAGGAGAGATGATCATTAAATATTTCAAAGGCAGTCTAAGAGCAGGGCTTTGCTTTTGTGGGAAAAGGAACATATGTAAGGCACTTAGAATAAACCTTTAAACGTTGAAAGCATAAAAAAGATGAAGAGATTACTCATTTTTTATAGTTTTAATTTTTTTCTTTCTGAGACATGGTGTCGTGTACTCCAGACTGAGTTTAAACTCATTTGTAGTACAGGGTATCATTGTATTTTTGATCATCCTGCCTCTGTATCCTGAGCGCTAATTTGACAGGTATGTACCACCATGCCCAGTTTATGAGTTAGGGATCAATACCAGAGCCATAAGCATGCCAGGAAAGCACTCAACAAACAAAGCTACATTCCAAAACCTCAACTACATACTCAAACTATATACCTAATGAAGAGACCCGACAATGGCAAATGAGGTCATTTTGGTTGTGCGGAAAGAGTATTTGGATAATGACAATCACAGCAACTAAGAATAATAGCCTTGAAGATCATGTGTTTCTAAAGATAGTTCTTCATTCCGCACCTTCACACACATGTGTGATGCTTCTATGAATGATTCTGCTTGCAAAATTCATTTAGAATAAATTTTGTGGCTGTCTTTAACTTGTGTAATGCAGAAGAAATCATAGATTTTGACTTTGGATCTCAACTCTTGGGCCATGGCACGACTGGTGGTTTTCTGTCACCATTGCAAGTGAAGGCCATATAGAAGGAGTCCAGATGACATACAATCCCACAGTGGCTCATATTTATGGTGATTCCTAAAAGAGGAAACTGAAACAAATGTGTTGTTGACCTGTGAAATCCCCAAAGCTCAGCTGTTCTCTACAAACTGAAAATGACTCTGAGAAAGCATTATCTAACCTGATGTGATGTTTCTTACCAAGGATGGTCAGAAGACAATCCAAGCCTGATTATAAAATACAGAACACCTGGGAATGTTTGAATTTGAAGCAAGTACAGTTCTTTAAAAAAAAAAAGAAAAAAAATGAAAGCATGTCTCATTCCATGTTTGTAACACAATTATACGGAGACCTATTCGTTACTAAACTAAAAGTCAAACTTAACTGGGCATGTTGGGTTTTGATTTGTTAAATCTTCTCATTTAACACGCAAGAAATTGATTTTTCTTAAGTCTTTGAGGAAAATAATAACTAGAAAGGCTGGGGAGGTTTGAATGTAGATTAGCATTTTATGCATAGCATTGCTGGTGGCAAATTAGATGGAAGTATAAACGTAACTTTTCTCTTCCTGTAGTAATTGTTGTCTCAGGGGCTTATTGCCTCCATCTGCTAATCTAGGACTAGTCTTGGAAGCTTCTAGCATCCATACAATCTTACCTAGGCCTAGAATGTTTTCAGCCTCTGAGACTTACTGCTGAATAAGCTCACCATTTGGAGCTCTTTCTGAACTCTGGCTGGCTGGTCAACTCAAATGTTCTAGCTTAAAACTTTTCTCCACGATGACTGATTCAAACTGGTTTCTTTCAGCTTTTGACTGAATTGCTCTGCTTGGCCTCATACCATCTTTAGTGATATGTTCTAATCTTCTGTCTCATTCTCTCCTTGCCTGTGTCTAGCTTGTTCTCTCTTTCTCTCTGGAACCTGTCTCTGTACATCTGTTTGAGACAAAAATCTGCCTTCTCTCTTTTTCTCTCTCTGTGCTGTTCTCTCCTAAGTAGCCTCTCTTTTCTCTCTGTTCTAAGTGAGAGTTAGGCCTATTACTTCTGTCAAATCTTCCTCTGATCCATCACTTTGTCTGCCACACAATTAGACATCACTTTCAAACATGGGAATTTCCTTTTACAAACTAACTTTACCTTTGTTGTTTGGGATTAAAGGTTTCTACTAAGGGCATTTCTGTATTCCAGCCAATGTAGCCATGTTGCTGGATTAAAATCACTCTGTATGGAAGAGTCAGGGACAAGAAATACTGTGATTGATATAGAAATAACTCTTCCAAACTGTAGGAAGAGCAGAAGGGGCAGGAATTTTGAAGGAGGGCTGGACAGTGTAGCTGAGCTGGTAATGTGCTTGCTGAGCAAACAGAAAGTTCTGGCTTTATACCTCATACCTCAGAACAAGATAACCTGGTGTAGTGGGTTTATACCTGTAACCTTTGAGCACTTGAGAGGTCAGAAGTATGAGGCCAGCTTGGGATATAGGTGACTGTATACCAAAAAGGGGGAAAGAAATCCCAGAGGAATTCTCAGGGTCCACACTTCTGGGTAAATGTCTAAGTCCTGATTCCATACCCTTAGTTTATTAGTGCCTAACCACACAGTATGACATTCTAATCTGTGCCCCACAGAGGCTGTGCAGGTATACTCCTGTAACTCTTGCATCCCATAATTCTAAGTGCTGACAGCGAAGAGAATTCATATCAAGGCCCTCAAGCTAAGAAAGCATGAATTGCACAGAATTTAAATTTCACAGCCACCCTATCCAGGAATCCTTTCTGTTCTGTATCCGAATCTACTTCTGAATTATAATACGGCCCAGCCATTTCTCTAATTCTTCCCATTTAACTACAATAATATATAGCATTAAAGGCTTCTGTTTAAAAGCTTTTTCCCCTTCTTTTATGAGTTAATGGTGACCATATTATAGCTGTTTATAAGGAAAAAAATCTGGTTATTAACAGTGGAAAGGATAAGAATACAAAGGCCTAGTCTGGGGGCAGGGGGTGGAAGTTAACTTGTGTCCTATAACACAGGGCTTCTCAACTCTTTAGTAATATCCTTTCTGATCTTCTAATACTAGTAACTAACTACTAAAAAAATTATCTTAACAGAAGCTAATTTTTGAAGCAGTCATAAACCATAAAGAGGAAAAGTTAGAAAACTAGATGCTCTCTGAAATAGGATGAGAAATTCAGTCTGTACTTGTCTTAGTTAATTATGATGTTTTGAAACACCATTAAAAAGAAAGCAACTTGGGGAGTAAAGGGTTTATTGGGTTTACATTTCTCATTATATTCTGTTACGGAATGAAATCAGGACAGGAACTAAAACAGCACAGGAACCTGGAGGCAGGAGCTGATGTAGAGGCCATGTAGGAATGTTGCTTACTGGCTTGCTTATCATGGCTTTCTCAGCCTGCTTTCTTATAGAACCCAGGATCACCAGCCCAGGGACCCCTTCCCCACTGATCATTAATCAAGAAAATGCCCTACACTTTTGTCTATTTACAGCCCAAGTTTCCATCCTCTTAGACACCTCTGACTCTGTGAAGCTGACATAAAAACCAGTCAGCACAGTGCTGTCATAATGTCAACTTACCGACATCACAAAACATTCAGTGTGGTAGATGATTATGTATATAGGTTTTATTTTGTGTAGAAATGGATGTGTATGTGTGTGTACATGTTCATTTGTACACAGGTGTATATGTATGTGCTGTATATGCACATGGGGACAGAGGACAACTTCAGTTGTCGTTAATGATGATCCATACCCCTTCTACTTGAGTCAGGGCCTTCTCCCTATGAGGAGCTCACCAAGCAGTCTAGGCTGGCTGGGAGGAGAGGAGCAGGAATCCCCTTGTCTCTCTCTCCTCAATATTTGGATTACAAGCCTACACACACACACGCACACGCACACGCACACGCACACGCACACGCACACGCACACGCACACGCACACGCACACGCACACGCACACGCACACGCACACGCACACGCACACGCACGTAACACACATCCTTGTTGTTTCCCAGGAGGTTTCTATGGCTTGATATTGGATCCTCCTGCTTGCAAGGCAAGCACTTGACCAACCAAGCCACCTCTCCAGTCCAGTACTGTGCATTTCCTTAACATCCAAAACCCTATTTCACAGTACGCATCGCATTTCATAAAAGATTCAGAGATGAGATCCGCGCCTCAGAACTCACATCTTATGAGGACAGAGCCAAGATCTCATTGCAATTCTGCATGCCATTAAGACACATGCTTCTTTCTCCATCTTCTGTTTGCCACAAAACATTTGAGACATATAAATGTCGAAAGTAGAAAACTTGCTGTTCCTGGTTTTCTGTTCGTTAATTTTAAACAACCAGAAACAACAAACGGTATGGCAATAACTGAGAGCCCCCTTTGCCTCTTATTCCTGTCCAGTCCCTCCCTTTCCTCTCACCTGTCTGCGGAGGTCTCTTGTCTTCTTGCTCATGTTGACGATGGCAGTGTTCAGGGTATTACTCCTTTCTGTTTTTCCAGTCTGCAAGAAAGCAAAATACTGACATAAGCAATGCTACCAAATTACTCTTTATCGCTTAGCAATTTGCTTTCGAAATTTCCTGAAAATAACAGCTTGAAAATTCAAGAATAGTTTTCAAAACGGCTATGACAGTGCATATGATTCATGAGCAGCACTTCACTGAAACACCAAGTAGAATGGCGATTAGCGCACACACATTATTTTCTTCTTTAAGCATCTGTAATATTTCTGATACAGGGCTTGGCCAGATCCAATATGGCAGCAGGCAGCGCATTGTCTCTAAAAATCTCTGATCTTCATTCTTAACAAGTCAACTCCTTTAACGGCTAAGCATGCAATTAGCTTAAAAGCATTAGATGCCCAATTTGTCAACTTCTGTGGGAGTTTCTGAAGTCATTTTCTTGGTGTATTGTGTAAGTTATGCAGAGCCATATTGGAGTTTTGCTAAACACTAAATAAAATATGCAGTGCAAATTCATACAATTTGCAAAAGTTGACCACAATTTTAGCTGACAATATTCCAAGAACAAATTGTTTTAAGTGAAAACTCAGTGCTGCTTTTGGCTCTTTAGGATAATTTGTGTGATACCGTTTCATTCTGTAAGCAGAACCGTTCTCTCCCTTACATCCTTTCACCTAAGGCTTGGGCTTCTCAACACACAGAGAGTCACCTTGGTTGACATTGTCTATATAATATTGTTGTGGGAGACAACTGGATTGAATCTAATCATGCTTTCCCTGTGATACCTCCTAGAAAAGAGATTGGAAAAAAAATCATTGTATTTCACCTCTAGGAAAATTGCTGCTGCTTTTAAATTAATAAACTGCAAAGGGCTCTGAGAGGAGACCTTGAAAACTCTGCAGCTGGCCACTGAGCTGCCAGAGTGGACTCCATGAAAAGAGACACTGAAGCACAACACAATCAGGTAGAACATCAAACACCCTCTACCTAGATCGAACTCCCAGAAAAATCCTATACCTTAAAACAGGACAGTGTCTTAACAACAACAGAAATCAAGATCTTCTATTTCACTCTATCCTGGTTTTCCTGGTCTCCTGCCACCATTTCAAACACTACCTCTCCACAGCATCCCATTCCCAAGTCTTTCTGTCTCCCTCATCCAGTGTTTACACAGACGCACCTGTTAAAATCCTTGCTGTCCTACAATGGATTCATGAAAGAAATCACTCAATGCATGAGACACACTCCTTGAAACAATTCCCCCATGATCACAAGTAAGCATTTGCCTCTTCTTGTTCCCCTGGCATTTCCCCCACGTGCTCATGTCATCCTCAGGCTTTCTCAGAACTCTACCAGCAATTACTTGCAAGGGAATTATTGAACAGATGAGTCCATAAATTAGCAACTTCGTTCAAGGTGCAACTGGTTTTAATTAGGGCTCCATAACAAGCCAGAGAAGTTAATGATGAACATAGAGTTTCCCATTCAGCCCAAACACACAACTGAATAATTCTCTTTGGCAGTCGCTGGTACCCACGAAACTGCAGTTATGGGTAGATATTTGTCACCATCAGATGTGGAAAACTAGCCATCACTTGAGAGTATGCAAAACTCTGCAGATGCTTGCTTGCAATTCATAGACATATGTCTACATCCTCCAAGATGCAGACAACAGTAGACATTGTCTGCTGGCCTTGGCATGACCACACGTTTACACACATACATACATGCCTCTGTAAATACACACAGGTGCACACACATGAAAATCAGAGATTTTAATCTAAAAAGAGTATATAATGTGCTTATGATAGGAACTGTCCATAGTAAAAGAACTGAGAAGGAAAGGAAAGCATAGTAGGAGATATTGGTATTAGGTCATTTATCTAAAAGGAAAAAAAAAAAAAGAAAGTTCTCAATATGAAAGCAATGGTGGAGAATGTACTCAAATGAAACTTGTGGTTACTTCAACAGCTGTAGACAAGCAGTCTTTTAATGAGCAGGAGCGAATTGTGAAGCATTAATTGAGGGCTACATAAAATAATGGCACAAACATATCTACGATGGACCTAAATACAGTTTCTAATTTTACCTAGAAAGCCTGGCCTTCATGCTCTAGGTTTGTGCATTATTAGCTCTTGGTTCTGTCTTTTCCCATTTCATGAAGGCAGAGATCTCCCCAGATGGGCAGGAGGTAGGACAAAGAGATCCCCATGCCCTCTCGCCCCCTGCCCTGGCATCAGGAATGATATGAGAGGCTCCTGTTGGGTTGGCTGTAAAATAAAAAAAAAAACTCACAAGCCTCTGTGCTGTGATTCATCAGAACAAGTAAAAGATGTCAGCCTTCCTGGACCTAGCAGCAGACAAGCACAGAGCTTTAATAAAGAATGACGGGAGGTGACAGCAGGACACGATTCAATAAGGACTTTAAAGATGATTTCCTAATTTCCACCCGGGGCTTAACCCTAGTTTAAAACATTTCATTGGGTCAAAGGCACTTTGTTCCCTAGGTGATAATAAATAGGCCCTAATGCTATAGAAATTATTAAATTTTGTCTTCTCCCTTCCTTCTATCTCCCGTCCTCAATACCTTTCTTCTTTCTCACCCCCAGGTTTTTATTGGGTTCTTGCTCTATTTATCCAGATTTATTTGGCTTCACTTGAGCCACTTTATACCTCTTTATTCCTTTTGCATGGCATAAAAATAAATAAAGCAAGGAGAAATGGTCCTGTCCTGTTTAAAAGCACCTCATTCCTTCTGTTTTCAAAGCCTTAACAAATCACCAAGCAATGAGCGAGGACTAAAGGCAAGTTCTGTGTTCTGTGATGAGGGATGGTTAGGGCAGGATATTAAAACACAGCCATAGATAACAGCCAGGACCTGCCTATCACCAAGTGCTCAGAAGGGAAGATGCACCTTTAAAGAATCCTTGACAGGATCCATCGTGAAGTCAGTACAGCCCTGCTAATGGCAAAGGGATGACTTTCAGAGAGCATCAGGGAAAGAGACAGTAAGAAAACACGGCATAGATCAAGCACTATCCAAAGAAAGCAACACAGTTTCTTTCTCATCAGAAATAAACTTCCCATAAGAAAAAAATCATTGAGGTAAACAGTCCTAAAATGATTTGATCCAACAAAATACCATTAGAATTTTATTGTGCATCTCAGTGTGATCCTGGATATAATCATGACTCGGAACCTTTCCATCAATGTTCTGTGTCACTAACCATTGTTAGAATTTCCTTGGAGCTGTCTATACCTTTGAAAACAAGCATATGAATTGACTTTCTGATTTACCCTAACCTGAGTACCTGTTGCCTACAGGGTCTTGGCCTCAGAGAACTTTTTAATATTACATTGCTCAAATTAGTAGCTATTTATCATACATAGGCATTTAATTGAAGTATAAACTAAAATTATATAACATTAAATTTTGATTTCCTCAGTGTCTCAGTTTAAAAGTAGTAGTAGTAACGTATGTGTCTGGTGTGTCTGTAAGAATGTGTGAGTATGTATATTTGTGTATGTGTGTATGAGTGTTTGTGTTTGTGTGTGTGTGTGTGTGCTTGGTGGCTTGTATACTGAACACTATGCATGAGGAACATTTTCCTCGCTACAGAAGGATTTGCAGAATTGTGTTGTGTTAAACACTTGCTTTTTACTTGCATGCATGTAATCTCTAAATGGTAATCCAAGGTTCTGGAGAGCAACCACACAGTAAACTAAACTGTCAATCCTCGAGCTACTTACCCTGTGGTAGAGAAAGCTGAGATTTAATTACATCTGCTCTTTGCTTTCAAACTCTTCCCTCTTCCCTGTCGCTCATGAAATTCACAGCAAATTCTTGATCTTGGTGTCGAAGGCCTTACAAGACTTAATCTTGGGATTGCTTATTAACAGCTGATAGGACATCTTGATGGGTCTTTTCTTCTAGACAGTGCATCTCAATTCAGGAGCTCTGCTTGGGAGAAGCCCCTGTGATTATTACCTCCTGCTTTTCCCAGTATGGACATCTTTCAAGTTATATATCTCAATAACTATGCCTTAAGGAGAAGATTTGTGGGTGTCCTCAGCTGTTATTAGTCATTGTCTTCTATACTCTTATTCTTCTTGTGATTTTTCAACAGCATGTGGTTTAATAAACAGATCCAGGTAATCAATACATTTTTGTGATCTACTCTTTGACAGATACCACATAGGACCAAACAACACCTTCTATACAATGTCTGCCTCAGCAGAAGACATAAACAGAGACCTGGAATTTGATAGAAACATCTGAGACAATCGGAAGATTGATGGGATAGCACTCTCATTAAGCTGAGGGGAAGGATAGATTCCCAAGGAAGCAATAAAGCTGTATTGAAGAATATCTGAGACTCAGACAAGTAAAGGAAGAGCAAAGGATGTGGGGCAGGGAAGGACAGCTTGAGCAAAGGCCAGGATCTTAAGGAATATTTGACAACTAGCATAAAATGTGTGAAGCTTGACCTGTTGGCCTTTGCCACACTAAGAAATGAAATTGGTCCTACAGACAACTGAGAGTCATACAATTTAATCAAGTGAGTGAAACGGTCAGGCCATTATATCAAAGGGGCCGGAGTCTTCACAGTGGATTTGAAGGCATCAGAACACAGGCAGAATTAAAATTAGATAGCCACGGCCAAAGCCTGTAAGAGGGATGAGACGTGTTGAAGTGAATTCAGTGATGCTAGGGATAAAAGAAAGTAATGGACTCGGGTCTCTGTTTGAGTAAATGAGGTAGGATAGAGACTGGCAGATGCTGGCAGGTGAAAGAAAGACAGCAATCCACGCTGCTGAACAGCGATGAGTGACTGGGTAATGGGGCTATGAACCGAAATACTCATTTCGAGAGGGGAATCTTGGTGAGCACAAGGATCTCCATTTCAATAAGGAGACCCAAGTAGCTGCTTGCTTGTACCACTCGACGCCACTTTTAACCTCCAAAGTTTAGAACTCTTTTGTACAGATTTCAACACGTAAAGCAGCAAACACTGCCTTGCGCATGCAAGTGTTCAAA